TAAAGTAATTATTGGCATAAAGTGTAAGTATTGCGATGTTTATATTGACATAAATTTTACATGTAGGAAGCAGGAAATAGAAGGGATAATATTCATATGCCTAACAGCTTTTAAACAAACAAATCTGTCTTGGAGTAAGTACAACTAGCATGCACCTTAGAAGCACGGATCGTCCCACGTACTGGCTCAGGAGGGAGCAGTCTTAGGGAAAAGTCACCCTTCTGGGAAAGACAGAGGGACAGGGAGAGAGAGGAAGACCCAAACCAAGATGCATTGACTTAGAAGTGACTGTAACAGTGGGTACAAGCATATCAGAGATGAGAATTCAAGTCTGTTTTTCACGGGGTTACTCTGAGTTACCGTGGTATCCGACAGCAACCATAAGAGGTAACTTTTATGCTGAGTGAGGTATCTCAATCACAAAGGGACAAATGCTATATGGTGCCACTGTTGTAGAATGAGGCTGGCATTGGGGTGGGGGTAAGACTGAGAAAAACTGGATGAAATATGTTTACAACATTGAAGTCTATGGGGGAGAGAATAGTCTAAAAGTATTATATTTTAGGGCATTATTTTTATCATAGGAGTACGCAATGAGGGTTGCAGAGTGGATTATATTTGGGAGTAGGGGGTGGGATTTGGGGAGGTGTGTGTGGGGGGGATTGTGTACCAATGAGGGAGTTTTTCTTTTGCTTTTCAAGGAAGGGAGCAAAGGGGGAGGAGGGGTTTGTGCAGGGAGAAGGGTGCAACAATGAATGAATGGAATTCCAAAATCTCTGTAGATGTTCACTGAAATGAAAAATAAACAAACTAAATTAATAAAAAAAAAGAAGTAACTTTTGTTTTTCCACCTGTGATTTAAATGTGTTTTGTTTTTCCCCCCTAAGTTCCTTTCTGACTCTGGAAGTGTTGTTCTATACAACACGTTCGAACCATTTTGATATATTTTTCAGACAATGAGATTTTAGATCTTTTCAATCTCTCCAATAGTAACAAGATTTAAACTTCTCTTTCTTCTGCCCAAGCAAAACAACACCTGGAACACATAGACGTATTGATTTTCAGAGACAGTGAGACAGTCTGCCTGACTCCGGAATTATCAGAGATTGCTCTCTCCCTCATTGTTTCAGAATGAAATATGTTTTATGATATTTTAACAAGAATCACAAATAAATTAGTAATAAGATAGCATTACGTAGGCACTGAATTTGCTGTGGATGGGGACTGTAGTAACTGAAGTTAGTACGTACTGGAAGACAGGTGTCTTTCAAAGAGGAGATTACCTAGCTTTTAAATAATGAAAGAAAAGAGTCCTTGAAGGAAATATAAAAGCAATGGAACGTAGTAACTTGGAAACATGCAACAAAAATGTCAAGTACGCAAATGTTTCATCACCTTTTTGCCATTCAATAGACCTATTTTAAAACTTTAATTTAGCAACTATACCGACTGGCTTCCATGCCTAGAAGAAATGCAATTCTGAAACTAGGCTAACTTATATTAGTGCTTTAAAAAGCATAAATCAGCATCAGGAAGTATGTGTGTGTGTGTGTGTGTGTGTATTTGTGTGTGTGTGTATTTGTGTGTGTGTGGTCAGAGTTATTTCTTTATCACGTAAAGAACGGGTGCCTTTAACACATCAACGTCTAAGGTCAGTACCTAGAGAGAATTCATCGAAGGCATCAGAAGAGAAGTTAATGCCAATGAGAAGAAAGTTAGTAATTAGCGTGAACTTGCCGTGTGTTCATTTCCACGTATCACTCTCATGAAAGGCATACACACACAGATCTGTAAACCAACACACTGAAGAACTGGGTGGTGAGGAGATAAGGAATTAGAACACGAGCACAAGGGAGAATTGAAGAAGAAAACACGAAGAAACTGGCAACAATAAAACATTTTCTTCCTTTTCAACGCAAGCAAAACCTACCAGCCAGGTTCCCTGAGTCACAGGGGAAGGTCTTAAAGTGTCCCGATTACACCCTGTGCCCTTATCACTCAAATCACATTGTAACTAGTTCCCTTATCTAGCCAAATGGTAATAGCGGCCTTTATGGAAAGTGGGCGAGGGGGGCCATCTTTTGGAACATTGTTTAATTCCGAATAATTACATGACCCACTCTGAGATCACATTGAGATGGGGTCAGTTCATCTGCCATTGAATGCATGGGTGAGGACAGACCTTTCCTGTTTATACAAAACAGAGGGGCCAGGGCTTGAAAGGTTGTGGAGGAGGAAGCGTGCAGGGTGAGAGGAACAAGGTATAGAAAAATAAGCCAGAGACCCTAAAATAAATTACACGTTTGCATCGTTCTGACACTGTTTATCTTGAGTCACACGCAGGCGAATGGAGGCTTGTTTGGAGACATTTTCTCATGACCGCTCAAGCGGGCACACTACTTTCCATAAACATTCTTTTGAATATAACACAATCCAGGATGGATGCAAAAAAGATTTTTTAAAAAAAGTCTTCACAGGTTGACTTGTTTGATGGTCCTTCAATATGAGTAACTTTCTCACGGAAAGACCTTCATTCCCAGCCAATGTACAGACAGAGATAACAGAAGAGTCAGAAAACTTCCAAGAAAAGCTAAGGCTCCGGGATAAGCCAGATGTTCTTAATGTTTCAGCACCAAATGGAGATGAGGTTTCTGATCTGCATCCAGAGTGCACGTGGCCCTGAGCAGTGTTAGAGGAAAGGTGAAATTAGCAAACTTTTCAGCCAGCCCTCAACTTCTGTTGCTCTCAGGAAAGTATTCGGCCTTGCAGGGCTTGTAGAACAAGATTTGCTCCGGTGCTCCGCTGCGTGCTGCTGCCCCCTCCTTTGTGTATAATATGGATGATTTAGAAGAAGCTGTGTCAGCACTGATTTATACATTGACAGCTAAGGATAATAAGATATGGGCAAACATACAGCACACCCTTTTACAGATTAACCTGGAGACTGCATTAGGCAAATTTGATAGCATTAAAAGATTTTGCCAATTTGTCTGGAAACAATTTCTCTCTTCTGTTGTGTCGGAGGGTAGCACTCCATGCCATGGTGCTAATTTAAATGCCTTTGATAAATCGTTCAAGAGGTTAGAGAATAGGAGAGCAGATAGATGTTTAGCACTTGAAAATAAAAAGGCTGTTAGCTTAATTGTGAAGTGAATTTCATCTTTAAAACTCCAAAGCACTCAAAAAATGGTGTTTGCTTGAAATGGCGGGAGTCAAATCACATCTTGGAAGCTTTAAAAGTCGTCTTGGAAAATAAAATTATACTTTTGTATTAGTTTTCAATAAGTAGAAATGCTTTAGGCTATTACAGTTGCATGAATAGTGGCTGAGATTTGGGAAAATCCTGAGCTTATATAAGCAATAAAAATTTTTCCTTCTCCGGGGTGTATCATTTTTTTTTTTATTTAATATATATGTTTCATATCCTAGATGGTACCATTTGCATGGCATCAAAGTAGTCTTGTATGTGATTGTGTCCCCTTGAGACCTTCTTAAAAATGAGATGTTTATTTCATGAGACATTCTCTATGTACATAATTTCTAAATTTGAAAGTGACCGGGTTAAATTATTTTACCTTTCTTCCGGAGTGTTGCAAAGGAAAGAGCGCTTTTATAGGAATGTTTAAACAGTTCTTTAAGAGCAGACCTTAAATATGAATTCAGAACTGGATCCAAGGACAAAGTTCATTTATATTATGATCATCGGCTTGTGTCTCGACATCTGCATTGGCTCAGCGATGCTAGTGTAGCTGACAACTCACAATTCCATGAAACATGCTGTTTCTATTTCAAATGAAGCATTAAAGTACTCTCTTTGCCTGGATGATAATGTATCTGAGCATCAAGCTGCTGGATTTAAACAATTTTTTGTTTGTAAAGAAGATAGTAGTTCAGACAGGATTTTGTTTTGTGCTCTTATTTCAAACAAGGAGATTCCTTAATATTAATAAGGGAATTTTCATTTCATAATACAGGCAGCATGCAGTGGGGCGGGGGGGGAAGCATATTTTACCCATTTTTGTGGCAGCATGACTACTTTTTCCTAACTTTGAATTCTTAAAAATGAGTGCTTTAACAACAAGAGAAATCTTCGTTTGTTTGAATTATGTATTGTTTGGAATAAACTGGCACTATTTTTAAAGTTTTTATACCATAGCTATACACTGTGTTTTCATGATCTCTGTATGTATTGTATTTCTAAGTTTTTTAGGGTGAAATGAACATTTTTTGAGAAAAAAAAATCCTTTTTCCTTATTCCCAATTAAGTGAAAACTGACGTTCAGAAGAGTAGTAGCCAGATGATAATCCTAGAAGTTGCTTAACTAAATATTGTGCTGATAGCAGAGAGTATCAGCGTGTAATTATCAAATGCAAATAGTGAGAAACATGGAGCTTAATATAGAATGACTGCTCGATTTTGAAAGTGCATTCCTGGTCAGGAATAAACAGGGAGATATAGCAGGCGTCAGTTCTTTCCTGATTTGGAGTTCTCTAAGGAAAACTGCTTTTACAAGAAGAAAACCTAAAAGTAGACTTGCTGGTTCTTGCCAAGGCTAGTGAAATTAACATGCAGCTGGGCTGCTCTGATAAATGGATTCTGTTAGGTCACTGAGGGGGTGTCTGTGACATTAAGTGATTTACAGTGCTTTACCTTAATGAAATTGTTTCAGCAAGATGACGCTGAAAGCTCTTAATGGATAGCTTTTCTTGATGTAATGAAATTGCATTCCTATGGCATTTAATATAAGGTGCAGTTATTATTTACTGGAGCTTTCCAGGGCCTGCCGTGTGCAAAGACAGTTCAGAACAAAAAGAGGTTTCAGTGGCGGCACTGAGGCCGGAATGGCTTGTGACAACTCTGGAGCAAGAAAGGGGGTGTTTGGGAGAGCATTTCAGAGAGGGTGGCCAGGGCAGCCGAGAACCTCCTGGAGGCTTCCTTTCACCTAACCCTGCTCCTGCTCATCCCTTTTTTACGAATCTCCTTCTAATCTATTTAACAGGCAGCTGGATTACAACAGGATCAACTGTATTGAGGACGGGGTTTTTAGGGCTCTCAGAGACCTGGAAGTGCTGTAAGTACTGCATGTATCTCTTACTTTCTTAACCAGAGCTTTGTGTCTGGGTCGTGCTTAATACAGAGCTTATCTGTGAGCTAAAAATCTTGCATCAAAATGCTCACCTCAAGAGATCCCTTAAGTAACTCATAGTGCATTCAGGGAAGGCTCAGCCATGTGCCTGCAAAACCCTGCCTCCTGTGTCTCTGGGCTGAGATTAAATTGTCCTTTTTAGGAGGGACGTTCAAATGTACACATGTGCTTTCCTGTGACGACTCTTATATGTAGTAAAATTTCTAATTGAGAGAATAGATGAGAATCTCCAGATTTGCTGAATCTGAAGCTAAAACATTCGTTTAGTACAGAATAATCTTCTGTTCAGTAGTTGGTGTGCTAGGATGTTTAGAAGTTGTTATGCAATGAAAGGGTATCTTTTTATTTAAAAAAACAATGCCATTTTACAAAGGCTAAAGCCAACTCTATAACGCTCTTTTGAAATGTACTTTCTCATTTTATTAAGGTGCCTATTCCTTGTAAAGTCTTCCAAAAGCACCACAGAGATTTTTTTTTAAATTGTGCTTGACTTCCTCACCCTTTCTTTGCAGACAGAATTGGTTACAGCTAACCTAGGGATTGCCATGGCCCTCTGGCTTTGTAAAATAATTGTCATGAAAAGTTAATAGTTAGAAAAGAATTTTAAGCTGTCCATACATTTCTGGACTTTTTTCCCCTAGTCAAAGGTTCATATTTCTGGCATATACACTTGCATATTTTCCCACAACAGTAAGATATTTGTATGTTTTAAATCATCGTTGACATGAAGAATTTAGTCCAAAATGCAAAATCAAATTAAAGACAAAGCAGTTATGAATTTTTAGTACATTTTTTAGAAGTCATCCAGAAATCGTGAAATCCTCCTGAGGGAAAAAAATGCACATTGCTTTGAGTTTGAAGAACAGAATATAATATTGAAGAATTGAGCTTGAAGGACAGAATATGATTTTGAAAAAGTTCTATGCTTCGTAAGTGTGACTTGCTTTAGCAATATTTCTTAAGTAGCTTTGTTCTAATTATGAGTAAAGGAATAGAATCTAAGTAGCTTTGAAAGTCTCAAGTTACGAATTCTTTTTTTAAGATGTTTATAAGAATGCTTTGGTTGTGATTGGCTGTAATAGAAAGTCTTCATAAATGTAAGATTACTTTTGAACTGTGTTCCTGAGTCATTTTAAATTTGGGAAACTCTCTGATGTTGTTTCAGAGTTGGAAAAATGAGCATGCAAGTAGAAGTTTATGACTGCAATCTGATGTCAAAAATGATAGGCATGTCACTAAACTTTGCATAGGACGAAGCCACTCACAAGAATTATCTAATTGAGCAGAACGAATTGTACCAAATGTATCCGTTACTAAGCCAGCTCTCCCAGCCAGATAGAGGACTAAAATAAAACTTAAAAATAAATAAAATATTTGCCGACTACTTTGGGTGGATTGGGTCTTCTGAAGTATCTCTTTATCAAGGAAAGGGGTGTGTGTGGAATCTGCACTGCGAAATCATTCACACTTATGTGCATATGGAACCATTGAAAGATAGGGAATCATTTGACTTCTTCAATATCTATACAAATGTTTAATATCTCCAAATACGTTAGGTATGGATCACCCTTTTACCCAGAAATACAATAATCACATTTTTTTTAAAAATTTGCCTTAAATTGAACTCATGACTTTCAGACGTGAATGTGTGAAACGCAGTCACTGCAAGCGATTTACTTGCTGTTAAAGGTCACTGGACCTAGAGTCATTGTCATGAAATGCGCTAAAGGTTGATATATTCTTTGTGTTCCGAGGAATGAAGATACAATAAAAGTATAGAACATGAAATACCTTTTTTTGAGCTATTTTGTATACAGCTACCAATATTAAGCTTATGTGCTACATTATATGTGAAAACTGACACAACATACAAGAAATTCTGAATTTCATTAAAAGGAAATTAAATATTTTCTATTAAAATGCTCTAAAACCAAGCCAACATATGTTAATTAGTTTCAAATCCGAAACAACCTTTAGAGGAATTAATTTATTTTAAGAAAAAAATAAGTCAATAAAGCAACAAAAAGATGTATTTGTTGTCCTAAAAGTCTGTGATCAAAATAAAATTTGAACCATTATAAAAGCTTGGTCGAAAGCCTATGTCTATGCAGTTACTCTGAGAAGAATTCCAGAAAGGATGTTATCTATTTTTCTTACTTTTACGGTCTATGGCTCTAGAATATATAATTAACTTGAAGTAACCTTTAATTTCCATTTCCTCGTGTGTGAAAATTTTAGTTTATTTCAATTCCCTGAATTATTTGGGAGTGTTTGAATCTGCTGTGTCCAACCAGAAGAAAGATGGAGAAATCATTCAGGGTCGTCGTTAGAAACTAGTTAGATAAGGATTTGAGGGGGAGAAGACAGAGATTGTGTTGAAGATTCCAGAAGATGCAAAATGTCATGCTAGGTGATGGCAAGGGAGAGGTTTTTGATTTGTATGTTCATAGCGAACCAGCACATTGTGGAATTCCAGTTAGTAGGACGCAAAATTAAGCTACTATTTTATTAATACAGGGGTGGTTGTTGAGTGCCATTGAGTTGGAACTGACCCATAGTTGACCCACTGATGGGTTTTCAGAAGTAGTAAATCGCATGGGAGGATATTGCCCATCCTTCTCCTGCAATGTCAAAAATAACATTATCTGGATATTAAATATAGACCAATGCTTACTTTTCCCTCGGTCCCTAGGTTTGAATTGTTCAATTACCACTTTTTGTATGGTTTATTGGACTCCTTCATTCCCTATTTCTCTACAATATTGGCATACTTTCATTTACTTGAACCTTGGTATTCATAGATATTCGATCTCTGACTCTCTGCCAAGTTCAATGGCTGGCATGAAGAGACTAAGACAGACTAAACTCAGAGCGTGGTCTAAAGCAGCTCTCTGATTATCAAGGCTAACTTTCCTAATTCATGCGTCACGATGTCCTTTGTACGGGATACATAGATCCAGCAAAGTTAAGTTGGAAAGTCTATCTAAAACCAAGAAAACGTTGAGGTTGAACATAGAAATAGACTTAACCCTTTGGAGAAAGGTTGCTAAAAAGAATGATCCAATCTCTGAGTTCACATCGTTTCAGAGTAAAGGCCAATCATGACTCTGTCATTTCCATGTGGCTGTACTTAATTTAACAAAGCTGTTGATATTTATTGGTTGGGAGCTGCACTGCCATCCCGAAGCCACATGATTAGAACTCACCAGCTGCTCCGTGAGAGAAATACAGGCAATTGCCTCCTGTTTACGGTCTCTGAAAACCTCCTGGAGGGTCAGCTATGAGTTGGTCTCAAATCTACAGTTCATAACCACAATCATACACTATTCGGCCTGCTAGGATCAAAATCAGTTGGCCAGTATCACATCAAGCAAGCCCATTGTCATCAAGTTCAAGACCATTCATAGCAAGCCTATCAGAAAGAATCAACTGTCCCTGAGGTGTTTCAAGGCTGTACATTTTAGGGAAGCAGATTGTTCCCCAGCAAAGTAGCTGGTGAATCCATACCTACAGTCACTTGGTTAAGCCAAGCACTTAATCATGATACCACTAGCCCTCCCAGTATTAATACCGACAAAAAATAACTAAGATAATGTATATATATATATATTCTCCATATCTCTCTATCTCTATCTCTCTCCCTCTATCTCTATCTATATCTATATCCATATCTATTTTTTAATTTGTGATGAATGTTTTGAGAAAAGTCTTCAAATTTACAACAGTGGGCTTCATTAGAGTCTGGCCTTTAGTGCGAAAAATCTCTTTTGCCTGGAAGTATAAGAAACCGTACTCCAAAGTGAACACCTGTCTGCTAACTGGGAATGACTTTTTAAGCCATTTATGGTCCTAGGGTCACCTTTCAGTGTGCTGTGTAGCCTGAAGATTTTAGTCCTATTAAATCAACATAAATTTTGAGAGTGAGAAAAAGGGGTCATCTGAAAGCAAATCCCTTTGAGAAGTGAAAGCTTTTAGTTCAGACATCAGGCTATATTTTTAATGTGGTTTGAAAACCATCTCGTCTCATTTGCGCTTGGGAAAATGCTAGAGGCTTTGTTGTTAACATGAGCCAAACAATTTGGTGCTTTCCGGGGGCTCGATGAGGTGCTCCGTGTGACTTGATTCCGATCACGGCATTCGATCTTCTGTGATTTGATACACAGCCGGATGGCAAAGCTTGTCATTGCATGACTTTGCCTTAAACCTGCCCTCCATGACTAAGAAGCATCAGTCGTGGACTCAACCACAAACCCTCACTGGTAATTGCAGCCACTTTCTGGCCTAACATGGCCTCGGGAATATGTTTGGCTTAACCTGCACGGACACTGCCTACAGAGTCTAAGAAATAACTTGAATTGGTAACAAGCATTTAAAGTTTAGGAGGATTGATCTAACAATTTCCATTTCCAGCTTCTCTCTTTAAAAAAAAAATCCAATTGTTTGGCAGCCTCTTAATACAGCATTGGCACAGTTCATCGGAGCCGGATATCAGCTGCTGCCACAGATAATATCTTCTCTAGTTTGACCTGATCCGCTCTATCCTCCACTGCCTGTCTGCTCTTCTCAATTTTTCTTGCTCCTTTTATTTCTTTCCACGTCCTTCTCGCTGCTCATCCCTGTGGTAGTGTCTGTAGGATACGGAATGTGCAACCTTAATTCAAACCATTCTCTGCTGTCCAGCTTCGTTGACCGGAGCCATCAAGTCCATTTCCCTTGCCTCCCTTAACGACTTGAGCACTTCATTCACCACACTCCTTGTATCGTCACCTCCCTGCCCGGCTGCTAATCAAATGGTCAGTAGATCAAAATAGACCAGCTGCTCAACAGGGAAGAGCCAGGCAGTCTCCTCCCTTAAAGATTTACAGCCTTGGAAACTGACGGAGAGTCAGAACCGACTTGATGGCTTTGGGTTTGGGATTTTTGTTTTCGTTAATGGTACCAGAACAGGAACATCCCTCTAGGAAATATTTTAGAAGTGGAGGAAAGACCTTGACAGTGCTAGTAAGGTAGCTAACAGTTCTGTACAGAGGAAAAAGTAGGAAACATAGCTTAGGTGAAAATTTGAGGCAAGCAAAGAGTCTACTTTTTTTTTTTAACCAGAACTCCCTTGACCACCCAGGTATGCCACAGTCCATACCAGGTGGCACTAAAGGGAAGGCAGGTTATGCAATTACAACCTGAAATGGTAAGATTAGACTAAGCCTTTTGATGGGGCCGTAGCATGTATAGAAGCATTGACTCCTCACACCTCATTAGGGTACATGTCCAAGTATAGAAACAATTAGCACAGCTCTGTGCCAGGGCCTGAGGACTGAGAAGCTGGATAAGACTGTCTGCTGTGAGACTTCCAGTGGCGATTTCCAAGATGTTCATGTTCTCATGGGTACTAATGGCTCTGACAAAGGTTATCAGTTGCAGAGCCCATGACCATCCGTGAATGCCAGAGTCCAGCTACACTTCACGGGGTATACAGTGGCTTATTTTTCATAAGCAGATTATTGTTGTTGTTATCGATGGTAGAGTCAGAACTGATTCCTAACTGGTTCCCAGTGAGTTTTTAGAAGTTGTAAATCACACAGAAAGATATTGCTCATATTTCTTCTAAGGACCATCTGGTGGATTCGAACCATAGTCCATGCCTTTGGGTTGGCAGTGCCAGACCCTATTTGCAAGATACTTTTGGATAGACTTGAACATCCAACCTTTGCATTAACACTCAAGTGTGTTTATTGTTTGCACAAGTCAAGATATCTTAGTAAATACATAATAAAGTCTTGTAAGGAATTACAATTGCTCAGTTGTTTAATTATGACTATCCTGTTCCTTAACCAAATTAATTGGTAACCATGCACCTGGTTATCAATTATCAGAGCAATATGAGTGCTCTGGAGGCCTGGTGGGTAAAGAATTGTGCTGCCAACCCAAAGGCAGATAGTTCAAAACCACCAGATGCTTAGTGGAAGAGAGATGGGCAGTGTCCTTCTGTGTGACTTACAACCTCTAAAACCTGGTGGATGGCCAGTTATGAGTTGCTACTGACTTGAGGGCACCGGGTAGCAATGATGTACAATATGCAAGAAATAACATTTAATCAAAAGAGCTGTGGATACAGCCATAAATATTCAATAAATGCTTAATGCATGTGGAGTCTATTAATAAATGTTTAGTAAATGTAGATTAAAGTGGGTAGTAGTATGTTAATGTTTGCAAGTGTCCCAACCGTAGGTCCTCTGTCTTCCAGGCAGTTGTACTGCATACTCATAGTGATAATCCCTTTCTCTAGATTACTGCAGAGAATGATCAGCAAAGTGTTTTGTATCTGAAAGATCTGATTTGGTATCTCTGTTTTATTATTCCACAGCACTCTCAACAATAACAACATCACTAGACTTTCTGTGGCAAGTTTCAACCATATGCCTAAACTTAGGACTTTGTAAGTAGTCACGGTATACCTGAAGGTCAATTGTGTCAGTTAAGAGTACCCAGGAAGCATTGTTTTCAGTAAGCAGCTAACCACTTATTTATGATGAAGTGGTCAAAGCAAGTGACATGAAAAAAAAATATATAAAATATTATATAAAAATATTCAAGATACCATATTCTTTTAAATGATAGGCACTGTGGGATGTTCACTTGGGAGGGGGTAACGTTTACTTTGAGCTTCATAGAGGTCACATTTCATTAAGAAATGGAAGATTTCTTGATTGACTGTCATAAATGATAAATGAGTTATCTTTATGATTTTATTACTGTACTGCAAGCAGACCTAATAAAGTTAAACTGGTCTCCCAACCTCCTTTGTAGCGTAGCACTAAAGTACCACCTTCTAGCGCTTCTCTGATTAAAGATGTGTCAGTATTTGTTTTGAAAAATATCCTTTCAGAGGTTACCTATAGACATTAAAATATCTTAGGTAACTAAAAATGGATTTCCAATTAAGTGTTTACTAGAAGGTGGTTTTTTGGTTTGTGTGTTTATTCCTTGAGGAAAAAGTAATTCTTTTTTTAATATTTTAATTTTTTTATTTTATTCGATTTAATGAACGTTTACAGAGATTTTGGATTTCCATGCATTCATTGTTGCATTTTTCTCCCCACCCACGCCTTCCCCCCAGTTCGCACTTCTCTTTGAAAAGTAAAATTCTTACATGGGTATACAATTGCCCCTGCCCCAAGTACACTCTTAAGACCCAGGCTGGGTATTTAGTTATAATTTTACAAAGGCAGATTTTCTTTGAACTGGTCTCAAAATCTTATTGACTTAACATACTTCATCTAAGAAATGGTTTGAAGCAAGCCAAGTCAACAACATTTTGAGGGAAATTGTGTTAAAATAAGATGAATGGATATTGATTGGATATGCAAAATATTTCTGGTTTTGAAAAGGCTTCTAACAGGAGAAGCCTGACATTGCTTTCTTAAATAGATCAGATCATCTGCTTTTGAATTACTGTACACAAATCTCTTGCTATTTTTCTTCTTCTTCAATACAGTGTAACTCTGTATGTGGTCACACATCAGTATAATTTCCTTGGAATATGATTTTGCAAGATGACGTCATTCTAAAAGTATTCAAATATAGCTGAATTGTCTTTTCTAGAGCTGTTGGAATGAGACTAGTCTGACCAAATTAACAGCTTAGTTCACCTCAAGTCTATTTAAAAAATTAGTCTCTTGTTAACTATAGCTAGGGGTTCCCCCCTAGAACAAATTGATCAAGCTTTCAGTTTTTAAAAATGTTAAATAACATCTGAATTAGTTTGTGTCCTCCATTTTCTTATAGAAACTTCTGGTGCATCTGCTGGTCCAGTTTTTAAAATTATTTACTTTGTAATTTCTTATTTGTACACTATCGCGTGAGCAGTCTGAGTTGGAAATATTTAAATGTCATTGATACATATAAGTGATGAATTCATTATATGAGCTATGCTACCAGAGCCCCCATAAAGCCTCACCTTGAATCCTCAGCCTTTCATGACCGGATTATGTGATGTTTGTAATTTTTGGTATTATCAATGTTTTGCCTTAATGGGATGCATATTGAATCATTGAGAATGTTATTTTCGTTATGCCTGATGGATTTCTAGTGACATTATGTACCTCTCTGGAGGTAGGCTAGGTGGAAGGAGGCAGGGGGGAAAAAAATTACTGTTTTTTTTTAATTAAGACCTAAAGGTTGTGGGGACCGGATGCACATTAACGTTCAGAACCCCACACAGTGATAATGTGGAGTAGGTATAAGGTGGGCAAGGAATACCTACATATAGTGTATCTGACTTGAAAATGACACTCACTTGAACACTAGCCTATACTGAAAAGCACACACTCCCAAGACCACAGACACACAGATGCCCTGCCATTGAGTCTGTTTCCACATATTTCCTCCATCACATCCCTGAGTTTATGAGAGGAGACCGCTCATCTTTCTTCTTTGGAATGATTGCTGGATTTGAACCAGTGATCTCTTAGGAGCATGATGCACAGGTAACTACATCACCAGAATTCTTTAATGTAAACCACACACAATCAACTGAAATCAAACCCACTGCCGTGGAGACAAGTTTTACTACGTCTCCGAGGCTGTACCTCTAGATGAGAGGACATTTCGCCTTTTTCCCCTCAGTGCAACTGGTGCTGATTTTTGCTTAGCAGCTCTGTGTGTTACCTCTACACCGCCAGGGCTCTTAATGTCACAAGGGAAAGGGAACTGCATGTGCAAACTCCCTCTGAATCCAAAGAAGCTCAAGTTTCACTAAACACCACCTTCGGAGGAACCTTGTCATACACATACCCTCACTCGAGCAATACGGCGCTGAGACCAAGGCTCAGATGCCCCCGTGGCATTCTTCCTTCTTTACTCACAGCTATACAATCCCCTGCCTCCATGCCACCCCTTAATTATTAAAGTTGTGCTAAAACATACTTGGAGCTCCAGAGAGACAAGTGTCACTGTACTTCCCAGTCAGTGGTCATGAAAGGGACAAGTAAGCTGAGTCCTGCTTTTTTTGTCGCTTTTTAATTCTACCATTTCTTGTTGTTTTGGTGCCGAACCATCTCATTTATACAACAGGCCCAGGAGGACCGTTATTAAGCTTTAAATTCCTTTGCTTGGCTTGGTTCATTATTCCATGCCATCATTGCCCCTTAAGAATTCCCCTTTTATGGTCTAATTATACTTCTGGACTGAGTTCCATGTTATAGTATCCATTACTTTTATTGGGTTAGAATTGAGGCCATCAGCTAAAAAGGGCTAAAATGATATTACTTTGTCACAGATGATTCTAAGTATGATGTTTTGATTTATAGCACTGGGCGCTCTTTTTCGTTGGTCTGAGCAAACATAAAAGGCAGTTGGAAGTCATTTCCCTAATTTAGTGGATACATTGGTCTGATATTTTATTAATGGAGAAGTGCTATTTGCTACTTGGAAGCAATCCACGGTCTGGTGTGGATCGTGGCCAACAGAGAGGGGATTCTCTTAATTCCTTCTCTGCCTGCCATTTACGTCTTTTCATTTCAGTCCCAACTCTTTGAGCGTGGTTCTCCCAAGAGACCAAAGAAGCTAATCCCTTTGCAGTGTTTTTTAAAAAAATAGTAATTAAAACAAAAAGAAAACAAAAAAGTGAAAGAAGACTTTCATTTGAAGTATTCTTCTGTCTTGTTCAGCAGAAAATGAAAGCCAAAAAAAAAAAAAAAAAAAAGAATTTAGCAAGCACTTTCTGCCAAAAATAAGATTGGCTGACTTACGGATATTTTGAAGTGAAATCCAACGTTTTTACTAAGGTGTCCCTTCCTCCCAGGCTCCCACCTCAATCCCTCCACCCACTTGCCTTCTGTGTTTTGTGATTGTAGAGAAGTTTGCCTCAGGCTTGGTTTTACTCTTCTGCCTTCTGAATTAGCAGAGGCAAAAGAATCCCACAGTTGTGTTTAAGCCCCTGTGTATTTGCTGTGTTGTAAGCAGCTGAAAAGAGGCTTCATTCTGTGGTTGCAATTCCGTTGAAGCTTGTAGACGCTAAGTAGATAAGAACTTTGCTAAACCAATAGATTTATATGCTCATTTTCAAAGAAGTTAGCCATGATTATAAATAACTTCTATTTTTCCCACCCACTCCCCTCAGGTTGTTGAATTAACTGTTTTCTTTTTTGTTGCTTTAAACTTCTTTCCTCTTCTTCAGTCGACTCCATTCCAACAACTTGTATTGTGATTGCCACCTGGCCTGGCTCTCTGACTGGCTGCGCCAGAGGCCGAGGGTGGGCCTCTACACCCAGTGTATGGCCCCGGCCCCGCTGAAGGGACACAATGTCGCCGAGGTTCAGAAACGAGAATTTCTCTGCAGCGGTAAGGGAGGAAAAATCCTTGTTATGCTCTTGTCTTACTGGGTGCTGTTATGTAACGCAGCTAGGAAGCCTGCTTGCTTCCAGGAAAGCTGCTCTGCTCACTAACATACACCATCTTCTTTGATGACTCGATGGGGAGCCTCTTTTTGTGATATGGACTTCTGAGATATGAACCATTTATGAGTTTTATTCTAGCTGGTACCAGGAAATTCATCAATTAAGATTATGTTTGATACTCATCTTTTTCCGTAGAAGGAACAGTTTTCTTCAACTGTGTGTGTGTGTGTGTGTGTTAACATTTGCAAGTTGAGGCTTCAGTCTAGAACCTGCATGCACCATGAAAAATGCAAAAGTTAATTGCAGCCACAGTCACCAAGTGCCAAAAACTTTCTTTTAGCAAACAATATACTCATAGCTCCATTCTACTTTTAGCAAATGGATCACTAGCCTTTCAAATCTGCAGACCCAGGCTATGGAAAACATCAATAGCTATAATGTACCGTGTGCTTAGTACCAGGCAACAACTTAATATTGCCCATTTATTTTTGTCTTTTTACCTATTTCCTTACTAGGTCTATTAGAGGTTCAAGAAGGATAAAGGTAGACAAGTGAACTTATCCAAGATTAGAGAGCTGAAAGTAGTGGGATGATTATTTCAGCCTACCCAGTCACATACGTAGGGCACTGTGTGGGGCTGTCCACAGCGAGGTGCACAGCTAAGCCACAGGCCATGCCTCTCCTCTGGGGCTTGGGATCCACCAGGGACTCTGTAGGAGAAAGTTAAAGAGCCTCCTCCCATGGGATTTACAGTCTTGGAAACCCAGAAGGGGGTCAGCTATGAGTCAGTTACAATTCATCAGCAGGGAGGGTTGATTTGGCTTGTAGGTTTGTTTTTGGCTTGGTTTTTTTTTTTTTTTCAAGAATCACAAATGTGGGTCTGGAGATGTAGCTCACCAGTGGAGCACAGTGGCTCACGTGCCACGGCTTTCTGGTTCGTGGTTCATTACCGCTACCAAGAATCACAAATGTATTTAAATTTTATACTAATAGTGTATCTGTGTTATTATATTGTATGAAGTAAGTCTAGTTTAAAATTTGTATCTCAAACTGTAATGAAACACCTTTAAAAATATGTGACACATCTTACATGCATAACAGGTGTTTTAAGGAGGAACAGGATGATCTTTAAATACAGGATTTGATTTCTTGTAAGATACATTAGAGTTTTTTCTGTGTTTTTCCATACTTTTTATAAGCACACTTGTATATAGTCAGCTCTGGTGGCATAGTCCATTTGGGGGTCTTTAATGATCTCCCAAAGGCAATGCCTTTTCAGGGGTTAGAAACCCCCAGTGGCTTCAAGAGAGTCAGCGGAGTAATCTCTTCCCATTCAATTTACAGCCTCACCAGGCCAGAGAGGGCATGCTATGACTTTACAGCAATGAGTTTACCAGAGAATTTTTTTAATAACCCAGAAGAAAAAAAAAAATCACTCCTAATGCCATGCAATGTTCTCCATGGGTCTGATTGCTTTAAATGAACTTAAAGCATTAGTTAAAGTAGAATAAATTTAATTAAATGATGAAATGGCTAATGATTATTTCATTAATCACTTTTCTCTCTCTTCACTTTTTCCTCCCTGTTTTCTAGATGAGGATCAAGGCAAGTTCACGTTTCTTTATTAGCCTGAGAATATTCTTGTAAAGTTTGCTAGTATGTTGAAAGGGATCGAGTTCGTAACAGAGTTGTGGAACTCCTCACAGGGGATTCCTGCTCAGAGCGGCCCCCAGTGACGGCCCCAAAGGGTTTTCTTGACTGTAATCTCTTGCAGAAGCAGGTTCCCTAGGTCTCAGTCCTGTGGAGCTGCTGGATGGGTTTGAACCATCAAACTTTGAGTTAGCATCTGAAAGTACCACCCAGGCGCCTATGTGTTAGTAGCGGCCTGGGCTGCTGCGTCTCCCTAGGGCATCTCCACATCTCTACAGGTTGACAGGATTCCCTGTCCACTTGTGCTACAGATCCCCTTTTGGTGTGGCACTGCCAGTACTTCCATGCCTCGTCCAAGCAGGAAATGCTAATTTCAAAATAGTTCTTTTCCGAATACACAATAGTTCATACATACCTCCAGATAGCTGCAATTATGTCTGGTAAAACTTTAAATTATGTTGAGCCCAAACACAGCCATTATAGATTAACAATTACAGAATGACATGATACAAGTTGCAATAATAACTTTGAAGAAAGCTGTCATTTTGAACGTATTCAGCCATCAGACTTCGTGTTAACTAATTTTTCCCACACACACATTCATTGAAATATGATTACTTTATTAGAACAACTGTTATGTGAGCCATTGCAGAATTTTACCGGTTTTCTGTTCATTGTTTAAGAAAAAAAGTCAATTAATCTCTAACAAGCTCACCGATTTTCATACTCTGCTGAAGCTTGCTGACAGTGAAATATAGCTTAGTCTGAAATTGCTGCTTTTTTTTTTCCTGATTCTGAATACTTCTGAATAACATTCAAGTTTTGGATCTGGATTTTGCCTTTCTTACAGTTAATTACAATTTCCTTTTATTCCCGATTAGCATCTTTCTAACAAATTTGTAAAATATTACCTGTTTGACCTAAGTGTTGACCCCCAACTATAAATGCATGCTTCTTAACAAATGTGTTCTCCGAATGTAGGACCCATTCGACAGTCAGAGCTGTTGACAACTCTGTTGTTCTAAAATGCTTTGTTATTTGAACTAAACTCTTTTTCTCTGTAATGTGCTTTGTCATTTGAGCTAAGCTTTATTTTGGTAACATGCTTTTATCATTTGAACTAAGCTTTGATTTTAAAATATGTTTTGTTATTTGGACTAAGCTTTCATATTTCACCATTAGGAAATTCAAGAAGAAAAGGCTGGTTTTTTAATTTCTTTCTTTTTTTTTTTTTATTTCAGCACACCAGTCTTTCTTGGGCCCATCTTGTAGCATTCTACACTGCCCGGCTGTCTGTACCTGTAGCAACAACATCGTGGACTGTCGTGGGAAGGGCTTGACTGAGATCCCCTTAAATCTGCCAGAGACCATCACAGAAATGTATGTGCCCGTTCCCCACCCTTCTTCCCTGTAAAACAAACTATGATTTTCTTTTGGAGAGTCCTAGTTTATCAAAGACTCATCTTGATCAATTAGCTTAGACAAATGTTCCTTTCAGAAGTTTATTGACCTTTTCTTTGTGTAGTTAAATACCTTGTTGAAGTAGCCAGGAATTAAAAAAAAAAAAAACAAAAAGCACAGAAAGAATGAGAAAGACTGTTGTTGGCGGGAAAACAGTGTTTGTATTTTTTTTTGAAAGAGCTGAGATGGGGTGATCCATCACAGAAGCAGGTTGAACAGATTAGATTTTACCACCTCTGGAGCTCATGTTTTAAATGCAATTTCACAACTTTGTTGGAAACATCGTCCGAGAAGTTCCTGAATCACAAACGAGATCCATGTCTAGCTGTGTCTTTAATCTGTATGTGTGTGGGAACAGTGCATGTGGCTCTTTTTTGTTTTTTAAATTTTATTTTATTATTTTTAATGAGAATTTATAGAGTTTTTATTTCCGTCCATTCATTGTTGCACCTTTTTCTCTAACACCCTCCCCCCCTTCTCTCCTGTCTTTGAAAAGCAAAAGATAAACTTTTTCGTTGGTATACAATCCCCCCACCCCCAATGCACTCCACTATGCAACCTTAATTCTGGATTCCTGTGATAATCATAATACCCTATCCTATATCGCTTTTAAACTGTTCTCTCCCTCATTTGTTTCCATGCAGTATACAGAATCTATCCAGTTTTTCTCAGTCTTACCCCAACCCTGATGTCAGTCCCATTCTATAACAGTGCCACCATGCAGTAGTTGTCTTTTTGTGACTGAGATATTTTACTCAGCGTAATGTCCTCCAGGGTCACCCATTTTGAATAATACTGCATGAGTTCCTTGTTTTTCAAGCTGTGGTATATTCACACAATGGAATACTACGCTGCATTGAAAATCATGAGTCCCTTATGGGGCTATACTTTCGGGTCAGAAAAGGAGCCTTGGTGGCAGACAGTGTTACAGTTTGGACTGTTAACTGAAAGGTTAGTGGTTTGATTTCACCTCCATGAGGGAAAAAATGGATGCATCTCCTCATTTTAAGAACTCCTTAGGTATCTGAAGTAGATCAGCCAAATGCAATGATCCTGAAAGACTGTGGCTTGCATTTTCTTCTTTAGATCCAAATTTACAGTCTCTTTAACCCTTTGAAGGGTCATCCGACGTTGTTCTGAAATAACTTGAAGACAGTGCATTTGGTGTTGGTTGTATCTTAGTGAAGAAAAAGGAACCCTGGATGCGGTGGTGGTTTACAAGTATTGACTACGGAAGCGGCTTGGGGTGTGTTACCAAAACTTCTATTCTTTCTCTGTCAGATTTCTCCAGGGAACCTGGTAGCGCTGTGTGAAGGCATTGGGCTATGAAGCAAAATGTCAGGGCTTCAAACCCAGCAGCCACTCCCAGGGAGAAAGATGAGGCATTGTGCCTCTACGAAGACTCACTTACTCATTGCCCTGCAGGTTGGATCTGACTCATAGCCGACTCTCTGGTGGTGTTTTCAGAGGCTGTAATCCGAAGGGGCTTCTGGGAATTCAGACCAGGAGAGAAGCACCTGCTTTATGTTGAGCACAGCTGTCTAAGGACTAGTCCACAACAGCACCGGCTGCAAAGAATACCACCTTGGAAAACCTGTCAGGTTGTAGCCTGTTTAGTGCAGGAAAAAGCTGGAAACCGTTCATTGATTGAAAACTGCCTGTGCTGCAAGTCACAGGGATTATGATGAAGCATTTTTTGTATGTTTGGATCAGGAGCTCTGGTAGCCTCGTAGTAAGGACCTGTGCTGTCAACCTCTAGGAACAGGGTTCTAATCCACAATGTTCTCTGTAAGAGGGAGGTCGGTGTTTTCCTCCTGTGTGATTTACTGCCTATGAAAACCTGCTGAAGGGTCAGCTGTAGGTTTGTTCAGGCAGTGCATAACCGCTTGGTTCAGTCTTATCAAAGTGAAGGTAAATTTACATAATTCAAGGGCAAATACAAGTTGTCCTTAAGTCTGACTTTTCTTAACAAGGGGACTTAGACTGTGGTGTCAAATGCAAAATGACAAAGATAATATTACAGCCTCAGATATTAAAAGTTGCTTTGGGTTTGTATTTATTTTTCTTAATTAGTGATAGCTTTTAAAATTTAAGCCTACTTCTTTCTAAAATTAAATTATTTCGACAAAATATTCCATACACATTTGGTTTTGCAAGTGCTGTGTGCCTCCCGGTGTCTTTGCCAAAATTAAGTCATGTGGTGAAGCAAGGTTGCATAAGATCTAAAACGGAATGTGCGTATGCTCTGAAGAAGTACGCATTAGGGAAAATCTTCACCTTGACTTCTATTACCTGAGAAAGAGCCTCTACATCATCTATTACTGCTGTGGAGACAACCTCTGCAGTTTAACTATTTAAATAGATTTGTTGTTTTGAGTTGAAGTATGTTAGATGGCTGAGTTTCTGTGAGGATTGAGACCATCAAGTCAATACGACTCATTGTGACTCTGTGAACAACAGACCTGAGCCTGGTCCCGGCTTGCACTGTCCTCTCAATCTCAATGACATGGATTGACACAATGACTGCCACCATGGACTTGAACGTGGCAGAGATGGTGAGGATGGTGAAGTGTTTCCTAGCTCTACAGAACACCTGTTGTGATTCAGTCAGTTCTTACAGAAACCTGTAGGCCGAAGTAGAACTACTGCATCCAATTCCCAAGTTTTCACTCTTTAGACAAGCAGACTGCCACCTCTTCCTCTCGTAGCTCATGGAGGATTCAAACCTCTGACTGTTCTATTAGCTTCTAAGAGCTTAGCCACTGCACCACCAGTGTGCCTTTTATAGACCTCCATGGTGGGCCAAAAGAAGTGAAATTTGAAGCTATTTTTAGAAACTATTCCCTCTTGACCAACATCTGTAATAAATTTACTGTTCAAAAGTGCCTTATATGAGAGTAACTTTAGCCCACATTATTTTAGTATCTCCTGTGTGTTTTTCAGCTTTGCAGACTATCAAGTGACCCTCTCTGGGGTCAGTAGAATCAGTGGATGTTTGATACGGACATGGAATAATTTCTGTATTTGCTAGCACTTATTTTTTTTTAAATTGATAGAGTTCTACCTTACTCATAGAAGACCTTTGGAAGGTGTGTGTGTGTGTGTGTGTGTGTGTGTGTGTGTGTGGTTTATTGAACTTTGAAAGACTAATAAGGAGCGCTGGTGATATAGTGTTGGGCTGCTGATTAAAAGATGACTCGCTCTTGTCTACTAGCACCTCCTTGGGAGAAAGATAAGAAATCTGGTCCCGTTAAGATTTAGAGCCTTGGAAATCAAATGAAGGGTTGCTGTGACTCAGAATTTAATGAGTGGCCCTGGGGTTGGGTGATGGGTCTGGCAAAGTGTATATCATTTGGTTAAGGGAAGGTGACCTTTCACAAAGGAGATACATGAAGAACAAAGACCGGAAATTATGATGAACATGTATTTGTGTAACTGGACAATTTAGAATAATTGGAATAATAATTTCATGTTGAGATATTATGGAAAGCAATGATAAAAGATGTTTTCTCTTTAGTTCTGATTACCTTTACTTTTTAAATGTATTCACTTTTTTGGGTGCCTTTTAAGTTGTGATTTTAGTGAAAATTTACAAAGAGATGGGTCTTCATTCATTCATTTAAATTCCATTCCCTCCGTTTCCCCTCCCCGTTCCCCAATTCACTCTGCAGTGCTTGTCCTGTTCTGGTTTGATAATTATCACTCATATAATGTCCAACTGGCCAGTTCTTTCAGATTGTCTTTCTTTTCACCAATTCCAGTGCAGAGTTCATTATCTATCCACCTTTTCCTGCTCTCCCTCCACTCCCATAGCCATCCCATTGTTTTAGCAGTGGTCGTATGGAATATTTGTTCTTTTGTGAGGGAGATATTTCACACAGCATAGTATTTCCCAGACCCATCCATGTTGTGTAGCTTTTTACAAGTTCGTTGTTTCCCAGTGTGGCACACTATTCCATTGTGTGGGTGTGCCACAGTTTCTCTGTCCATGCATTTCTTAACAGACCTGAGCTGTTTCCAGTTCTTTTCTAGTACGCATGCTGTTGCAGTAAACATGGATGTGCATACATATGTTTTTGTCACAGCTCTGACTTTTTTAGCATATATTTCCGGTTGTGAGATGTTGTTGTTGTTAAGTGCCATTGAGTTGTAGACGACTCATAGCGATCCTAGGAATGAAAGACCTGAACACCTGTATAACTTTTGTCATTTCATCACATTCATAGAGTGTCTTTGGAAGTGGATGCCACCCCTGCTTTCAAGCTTGTTTTAATTGGGAAGCTCCACCAAACACTATCCACCATGGGTAACCATTATCACACTAGACACATCAGTGTCACAGTGTTTAGCATCACAGCAACCACGAGTTACCTCTGTACAGCAAATGGACTATGCCAACTGAGAAGAATGTTTGAACAAAAACAATTAAAATCAGTCCTGAGGGCCACAGATTAAAATTACCCACCTTTGGCTTGGTAGCATTGCTTTCTGTCCACTACGCCAACTGAGTTCTAGGTTGTTTGTTTTTGTTGTTGTTGTTGTTAAGTGCCATTGAGTCATAGACAACTGACTCATAGCAACCCTATGAATGAAAGACCTGAACACTTGTATAATTCTCACCAGTACCGGCAAACTAGCCTCTGTAAAATCCGGCTCCTGAAGATGATTTCCAAATTGGATTGAGTAGTGAGATGGCTCAGTCAAATGGTATTTCTCTTTACAATTTTTAGAAGAGGCACTAGACTGCTTTCTGTAGTGGTTGGACCTTTCTACTTCCCAACTAGTGGTGTATGAGAGTTCTGTCTCTCTACATCCTCGCCAACACTTGTTGTTGACTGTCCCGTTGAACTGAGCTATAGAAGCTGGGTGAGATGATATCTTTTTGTTGTTTTGAGCTGCTTGACTCTCATAGCTAATGA